CACTCCTCCTCGTTCCCTCCCACAGAGGCTCCCCTGCAGACTCTCCACCTGGATGTGTGGGGCCCAGCCCGCGTCCGTGGACAGGGCCACGAGCGGTACTTCCTGCTGGTCGTCGACGACTACACGCGTTACACCACGGTCTTCCCCTTGCGCAGCAAGGGGGACGTCCCTGATGTTTTGATCCCCTGGATCCGCGCTGTTCGTCTCCAGCTCCGCAAGCGGTTCCGGCGGGACTTTTCTGTCCTGCGTCTGCACTCTGACAGAGGTGGTGAGTTCACCTCAGACCTCTTGGCAGCCTACTGTGCGGAGCACGGCATTACCCAGTCGTTCACGCTTCCGGCCTCTCCGCAGCAGAATGGGGTTGCTGAGCGCCGCATTGGCTTAGTCATGGAGGTCGCTCGTACCTCCATGATCCATGCGGCTGCCCCCCATTTTCTGTGGCCGTTTGCGGTCCGGTACGCCGCGCATCAGCTCAACCTCTGGCCCCGTGTCTCCTTGCCGGAGACCTCGCCCACACTGCTGTGGACGGGGAAGGTTGGTGATGCGTCGCGTTTCCGGGTCTGGGGTGCTCGTGCCTTTGTCCGCGATACCACCGCGGACAAGCTCTCCGCCCGCGCTGTTCCCTGTGTCTTCCTTGGCTTTGTCCCTGACGCGCCTGGTTGGCAGTTTTACCACCCCACCTCGCGCCGTGTCTTTGCGTCTCAGGACGTCACGTTCGACGAGTCGGTTCCCTTTTACCGTCTCTTCCCCTACCGCACTGCCCCGCTCCCCCCCCCGCCGCTCTTTCTCGCTCCAGGTGCTCCCCAGGTAGACCCCCTCCCCGCTCCAGGTCCTGCTCCTTCAGGTGTTTCTCAGGTAGACCCTCCTCCCTTGACTGCGCCGGTTGAGGTCACTGGTGACTCAGGTCCTACTGAGGGTGGTCCTGCTCGGGGTGCTACTTCTGGGGGTGCTGAGCCTGGGGGTGTGGAGCCTGGGGGTGCTGAGCCTGGGGGTACTGAGCCTGAGGGTGCGGAGCTTGAGGGTGTGGAGCCTGGTGGTGCTGAGCCTGAGTGTGAGGGGTCTGGGGGTGCTGAGCTTGGCGGTACTGACGCTGGAGGTTCTGGAGCTACTGAGGGTGCTGGCGCTGGAGGTTCGGGAGCTGCTGGAGGGCCTAGTACTGGTGGCGCTGGAGCTGGAGGTTCTGGAGCTGCTGAGGGTGCTCGCGCTGGAGGTTCTGGAGCCGCTGGAGGTACTGGCGCTGAGGGTGCTGACACCGGAGGTTCTGGAGCAGTTGGGGGTGCGGGCGCTGAGGGTTCTGAGTCTGCTGTTGCGCGGTCTCCTTGGAGTAGCTGCCTTCGTCCACGTGTGCCTCTCACCCCACAGCAGCTGCAGGACTGGTACGGTCGCCGTCAGGGTCGCGCTGCTGGAGCCCGGGGCTCTGCTGCTGGAGGTACTTCTGCTGACGTCCCTGGAGCTAGGAGTGGTGCTGGTCCTTTGTCTACTGGAGGTGCTGGAGTCGCTGGCTCCGAAGGTGCTCGTACTGGAGGTACTGGAGCTGCTGGGGCTGGGGGTGCTGCGTCTGGAGGTGCTGCTGCTGGAGACACTGAGGCTGGAGACCCTCGGACTGGAGGTGCTGGTTCTGGGGGTGCTGCTGCTGGAGACACTGAGGTTGGAGACCCTGGGACTGGAGGTTTTGGTTCTGGGACTGGAGCTTCTGGAGCTGCTGGAGGTGCTGGAGCTGCTGGAGGTACTGGAGCTGCTGGAGCTGCCGGTACTGGTGCAGCTGCGCCGACACGACTGTTCTTCGCTCCGCCGTCTCCGTCGTCTCTGCCGCCGTCTGACTCTGTTCTTCGTCAGGTTCTTACTCTCCCGTCGTCTACTGGTCTTCCGTTACAGCCTGGCTCACCGCTTCCTGCTCCTTCTCCTTACACTGAGCAGACTGGTAGTCCTGCTGAGCGTCGTGAGCCTGCGTCGCGTCCTGTCTCGCCTGTTCGTCCTGGTCGTACCGGTCGTCGTGTTCCTCGGTCGTGTCAGCCGGCTGTCCCCAGCGCACACCTCGTAGTCCGTCGTCCTTCCTCTGCTCCGCAGCCTGTTCCTCTGCCGTCTCCCATTCCGGACCCTGCGTCTGACCGGTTTCGTGCTGAGCACCCTACTGTCACGCGTCTGCTCGCCACTGTTGTCACTGACCCGTCGTTTGAGTCTGCTGCTGCGTCTGCTCTTGTCGCTGAGCTTGTTGACTTTGCTGCTGCCTGTCGTCTAGACTTCGCTGCCAGTCTTGTTGCTGAGTCTGAGTCCGTCTGTCCTCCGTCCGTCGGGGGTGAGTGTGCTCTTAGCACGGACGTCCTTGAGGACAGACACGAGGACCTTGAGTGTCTTGCGGCTGCTGCGCCTCATCTCGTGGCCATGCTGCTTGCCCCTGAGGGAGACCCGGATGCACCAGACATCCCGACCCCGCGCTCTTACGCTGAGGCGATCGCGGGTGAGTACTCCTCTCAGTGGCAGGCAGCCATGGACGCAGAGATGGCATCCTGGAAGTCCACAGGCACTTACGTCGATGAGGTTCCCCCTCCTGGGGCGAACATCGTCGATGGCATGTGGATTTTCAGGGTGAAGCGGCCGCCGGGTTCTCCGCCTGTCTTCAAGGCTCGTTACGTTGCTAGAGGCTTCAGTCAGCGAGAGGGAGTTGACTTCTTCCAGACCTTCTCCCCCACCCCGAAGATGACCACTCTTCGGGTGCTGCTGCACGTTGCCGCTCAGCGTGACTACGAGCTTCACTCTCTTGACTTCAGCACAGCTTTCTTACAGGGCAGCCTGCACGAGGAGATCTGGCTGCGCCGCCCACCTGGCTTCACTGGGTCGTTCCCTCCTGGTACCCAGTGGAGCCTCCGGCGGCCAGTCTACGGTCTCCGCCAGGTGCCTCGTGAGTGGCACGACACACTGAGGACGACACTGGCGGCTCTTGGGTTCGCTCCTTCGACAGCTGACCCGTCGCTGTTCCTGCGCACCGACACTTCGCTGCCACCGTTCTACATCCTCGTGTACGTCGACGACTTGGTCTTTGCCACTGCTGACACTGAGGCTCTCGCCTTGGTGAAGTCGGAGCTGCAGAAGAGACACACGTGCACAGACTTGGGTGAGCTGCACAGCTACCTTGGCTTGCAGATCACCCGGGACAGAGCACGGCGCACCATCACCTTGACTCAGTCACACATGGTGCAGCAGGTCCTTCAGCGCTTCGGCTTCACCTGGTCTTCAGCACAGGCCACTCCTCTGGCTACAGGTCACTCGCTCTCAGCTCCACCTTCGGACGAGTCCGTAGAGCCGAGTGGTCCTTACCTAGAGCTAGTGGGCTGCCTCATGTACCTGATGACCTGCACTCGTCCTGACCTTGCGTACCCTCTTGGCCTTCTCGCTCGCTACGTGGCTCCTGGTAGGCACCGACCAGAGCACATGGCTGCTGCTAAGAGGGTACTGCGCTACTTGTGCAGTACATCGGGCATGGGGCTCGTGCTTGGAGGACGCGTGTGAGGTGGTCCTCACTGGGCACTCAGACGCGTCTTGGGTTGACGACCAGACTACTCAGCGGTCGTCACTGGGTTACACCTTCAGCCTTGGCTCTGGCTCTGTTTCTTGGCGGTCTACACGCTCGTCTTCTGTTCTCAGCTCCAGTTGTGAGGCTGAGATCTACGCCACCGCCATGGCTGCACAGGAGCTACGCTGGCTCACCTACCTACTGACTGACTTGGGTGAGCGGCCTCGTTCTCCTCCAGTGCTGTACGTTGACAACAAGGCGGCCATTGCCTTGTGTGAGGAGCACAGACTGGAGCACAGAACGAAGCACATTGCTCTGCGTTACTTCCTGGCTCGAGAGTTGCAGCAGCGAGGCCAGCTTTGTCTTCGTCACGTGGCCACTCGGGCCAACACTGCTGATATATTCACCAAGGCACTTCCGTCTGGTGATCATCAGCGCTTTTGTACTCTGTTGGGCTTTGTGCCTACGTTTCCGCACTTGCTGTAGTCTCTGCTTGTACTGTGATTTATATATATACACCTGCATGCTGGCTCTTGCTAGGTAGTCATCACTGTACTGTTATTGATGCATTTATATCTCTGCATGTGAACTGGCCTTGTGGCCCTTTGCTTGTGCTCAGAATGTGTGGTGACGTTGGGATCCACCCTGAGCTTGTTTTGTTTCTCTTGACTGGTCGTGTGACCCCTTGTTCTCCCCCACTTTGCCTATGGGGGTGTGTCAAACTATATGTGCTGCATATTGTCTAGGCTGTAGTGGGGTAGCCCATATGGGGTACAACCCAATTAGGGTTAACTACTTGTACTCCTGCATCCTGCTAGTTCAACCATTCCTGCTGCTAGATTCTGACAGCGCGCACACACACAGACACAAAGGATACACTCACACACACACACACATGGACAAGCGCACACACGCAAACACATGCACCGATGCACCCCTTGGATGCCCTTAAGCACCCACGCACAGACCGATGGCCATACCCACGCACACATCAATCGATGCATCCATACACACGCCCACGCACACGCGCATGCAAACATCCCATGCGTGTACAGTCGCACACATGCATGGACCCACTCACACACATCCCCATCCACACATGCACCCACCCACACACACATGCACCTAGGCACATACACAAAGTAATCCGAGGGCCTTTTTGCATGCCTCGTCAAGTGGTGAAGACCAGGACAACACTAGCTGGCAGTCAAGCTGAATGGGTAAATCACCTGTCACAAACAGCATCTCAGCACCATGGAAGGCCACAGCCAGAAGTGGTTGCAGACAGTTGGAGCAGATGGTGGTCCACGGTCGAGACCACCGTAGTAACCTATCATTGGCCATTGGGATGGGTTATGGTACCGTGTTGAAGTTTGATTATATACTGTATAAGAATGACTATACAAAACAATACAATCAGAGTGTGCCCTATCTGTCCTATCAACCTGCGGCCATCCAAGCATACAGTCAGCTCTTCAGTGCATCCTTCCTACTTCGGAGCAGCCGCCCCAACTAATCCTACAACAAACATCTCCTCAATCGCATCATAAGCAGCAATCCATGCTGCTTTCACGTCACCACTCCACATGTCACCTATGGCGCCAGCCATCGTAAGCACGAAGGCATCCCTCAGTTTCTGAGAATGAACATAAAAGAAAAAACAGAGTATTAGAGGTCGGGGAACACTGAAGCCTGGCAGCAGCAACACAGCACGTGATGTGCAGTACAGCAGGAACCTGATTGCAAATATGAACCTGACTGTTGGGTACATTACATACCGCAGCATGCTTGAGCTTGACTCCGTATCCAATGTGTCTCTGGCCTAGCGATGCAAGGCTCTTCCTGTACATCTCCACCTGTTTCTCATTGTCCAGGTTCGTGGCAATGTTAACCACCTGCACACACAAACGTCACAACAACATCAAGAGAAGGCACTTAACTATAAACAGCCGCTTGTATGACAATCTCGAAATCAATTACCCGTCTTCCCGTCTTCACTCTAAAGAGCACTTTCACGTTCCTTGAATTAGTGCTCCTACCAAACCTTCTGTCCCCGGTCACTCACCTTCTTCAAAACAGTAGTGGCGTGTTCCTGAAGCGCCTTGTTGTCTCTCATAGGGCCCGTGTAGTCCTTGGTCATGGATATAAGGGCCTTTGCTTCAGGAACAATCTCGAACAAACTGCCAGTGGGGAGGGGATCATCATTTTCAACGGGTGGGTATAGAGAAAATTATGCACAGACCTGAACAGCTTCAAGCGATGGGGAAATTGAAACAGATGTGAGCTACTAGTGGAATACAAGCTCCTGGAGAGTTCAAGAAAGGTGCTTACTTGATGAAGAGGGTCATGGCGTGGTACGGCACATCGGGCTGGAGCTTCGCCTTGTAGCTTTCTTTGATCAATTGCACTTGCTCCGTGGGGAGCACGAACGAATCAGCAGGGCCGAGCGAACCCATGATGGCTAGAGTGAGGAAGTGAGCTCAGTGAGTAAGTGGTTCAGTGAGCTGTTGAGTGGGTACCAGGCGACTAAGTGAGGAAGTTGCGGACTGTGGAATCCTGGTCAGCCTGAACCGCGATGACACGGCTGAGGGGAGTCACGGCGATTCTAAAAAACACCGGTTCTGTGGGAGAGAATGAAGAGGCTGCTTGAGCGTAGTGTAGGTTGTCTGACAAGAGCTTGAGAGAGAGTTGAGTTGCTAAGACAGTTGGTCGGTGACGCCTACATAAATACCTCGGAAGTTGGTGGTTCCGTGACCTTCCAGACCCCTCAAGTGACGCTGCCTGTTCCTCGGCGGGACGCGCGTCGACAACTACGAGGGAGTAGTTGGTGGACATAGTCGCGTGTCCCTTCTAAGAACCAGAGGGCCTTGCGGTCTAAAGTAAGGCCCCTTCTAAGACCGAGAGGGCCTTGCGATCTAAACTAAGGGTTAACATAGAGCGACTCTAAGGACGTTACCCCCTCGTGGCATTAAGGGTCGCGCCTATTTCGTGACCGAGTCGCGATGAGATTACTGATAAGGATGACTCTCATATGATAATTTGCCGCGGATATGATGATTTTACGATAGTAAATTGCCTGAGGCAATGGGAAAGCTGGAGGTGTGCGAAACCACAGAGGCGAGCCAGCCATTCAGGGGGTAATGATGACGCGTTGTCAGGCCAGTATGTGTTGTCAGGCCAGCGCCTTGCTTGGCAGAAAAGCAACATCGCCATTGAGACTGCCTTTCTGCGGTAATCTTCAGGGAATTCCCGAAGGTGTTCTTTGCGAGCACGGAAGGTCGCCAGCGCGCAGCCATCAGCAGAAGAAGGTTCCGCTGAAGCACCCTGCTCCGACGTGGACACCCAAGCCCTAGGAGGCGCCTGTGGATCGCGGCTCCAACTACAGCCCTTACGTCACAAGCGGAGCAATTGCCCTGCACTAAAGTGATGCGGTGACACGTGGCTCCAGCCTTCCTGTGCTAACACCTAGAAGACAGAGACATGATATGTGGAGCGGCTCGCACCTGTTCTTGCAGGGTGTGAGGCATCGACAATACCGTTACGCCCGATGTTTTGGCATTTCATTGTAACAGAACATCTATTAGCCGTACAGTACAAGCAGCGCAATCAGCTCTTAACGGCGCGTCCTGAAAGGTCTCGTGACCTTTCGCTACTGGAGGAGGTGGCTGACTAATGGAAACTCGGTGGGGTAGCGTCCACACGGATGACGATAGGTCATCTGTACACTTTATTACACGCCTCGGGAAATAGAACTTCAAAGGCAGAGTAGCATATTTTGATAAAGTAAATTCAAAGATTATTGACCTTGTGCTCTCAACCTTAACTGGGCTTCTTTTGCAGCCCTTCTCTGTTGCTTGTCAGCTGCATTCGACTTGGCGGATTTATTCAGCATCGCCCGGACGTGAGCAGCTTTTGCCTGTAATATTTAATAAAACGGTAGTGGAGAGTAGTGGGATGACACATAATTACAGATCCAGATGGCACGAAAAATAGCAAAAATCAAAGCACAAAAAAAAAGGAATACACGAAACAAGGGGAGCATGGTAGTGTAACACTTGCGATCACAAAACCTCTTAGCATCAAACTCACCAGCAGCTGATTCCTTCGCATGGTCTCACGACCATCGAGATTTCCCTCCCCGCCCAACGAGAGTGGCAGTGCAGCACTTATGGAGACACCGGGCGGCAAAGAGAGAGGATTGGAGGAGGAGGAAGTCACGGCAAGAGGGGGTTGTGTCTGGGAGAGAGAGGTCGCAATGTCGATTGGAGAGAAGACCATGCTGGTCGAATCTAAAGTTGGAATAGAGTTGCATGGGATGGGGGCGGATAGGGGAGGGCAGTTCCTTGTGTCAGAAAAAGATAGGAGGTAGGAAGGAGCGGTGGCAGGGGAAGGTGGGAAGTGAAGGTAGGAGGGAATGGTGAGAAGGGGGAATGAAGAAGTCCGCTGATAAGCGGGAAAAGTGATTCACGATGTGTCTTTATGTTTGAGAAGGCAGCAACACGTGACAGACATTTCTTCACTCTGTTGAGCTCCAACCCCTGCCATGTGGCACTCTTAACCTGCTGCCACATGGCATCATTTAAGTTCTGCAATGGGGATCTTGGACAGCCTGCCACGTGGCATCCCGTACCTCCTGCCACGTGTCATCATCACATACCCCTTGCCATGTGGCATCACATCGCATCGCATCGCATTGCATCGCATCGCATCGCATCACATCACATCACATCACATCACATCGCATCACATCACATCACATCACATCACATTACATCACATCGCATCACATCGCATCACATCGCATCACATCACATCACATCACATCGCATCACATCACATCGAATCTCATCGCATCACATCACATCGCATCACATCACGCACCTCCTGCCATGTGCAGCGCTCGCATGGCCTCCATGAGATCATGCACTCCACACTGCCCACGAAATGCATCCATCTGACCACCACAACCAGCACCAGCACCGCCACCACCACCAGCACCAGCACCACCATCACTGCTGGCTGTGTTCTTGCTGCTGTCACCCTCATCAGTAGTGCTGCTGCCACTGCTAGCTTCCGCTGCAACAAGCTTCCCAATCACGCGCCGCCCACTCACTCCCCTTCCCCCATCCCCACTCCCAACAACCTCCTCTCCCTCCTCAACTGTACCAGCCATACCCTGCCTACCGGCCTTCCCTTTCACTCCTCCCTTCTGTCCAACCCACTCGTCTCCCCTGCCTATCCTGCCTTCCTCCTCTTCCTCCCCCTCCCCGGCCACCACAGCTGCAGCCACAGCAGCGGCAGTGGCAGCGGCAGCAGCATCAGCCTCAAAATCCACATCTTTAAAGAACACATCCTCCGCAAGCCTCTTTCCTGGAAACATTGACCCTTGCGTCAAATCTTCATTATCTCCAGCTCTCTGGAGTCCCTTTCCCACCTTCTCCCTCTTCTGCCTATTCTCTCCTTTTCCCCCATCCCATCCCTCCTCCCTCTCCTCCCTCTCCTCCCTCTCCTCGTCCCTCCAGGGCCCGAAGTGAGAGTGAGAAACGGCGGACTCCTCTTCTCCCTCTCCACCCCCTGCCTCCTCGTCGCCCATCAGCCTTCGTGAAGCTGAGCTGGCAGCCTCTGATTGGCTCTTGAGATTCGCTGCCACGGCTGAGGGGTGCGCGTCTGCCAGTATCTCCATCTTAAGGGTGGGGAAACGAGCGATGGAGCCTGATAGAGGGGGGGGGGAGAGAGCAGAAAGAACCGTCATTGGGTAGTGTTTCTCGAATCTTCTTCAGCTAGCTCGTCTGCTAGTATCTCCATCTTGAGGGTGGGAAAACGAGCAATGGAGCCTGGGAGGAAGGGAGGGAGAAGGAAGAAATGCGTCTGGGAAGAATTCAGAAGCAACTGTACTAGCTCATCACCTGGTGTTTCCATCTTGAGGGTTTGGAAGCGAGCAATGCAGCCTGGGAGGGTGAGAGGGAGGGGGGTAAGCAGGAATAAACGTGATTGGGTAGCATTTCCAGAGTCTTCTTAAACTAGCTCATCTGCTAGTATCTCCATCTCGAGGGTGGGGTAGCGAGCAATGGAGCCTGGGAAAGAAGGAAACGGAAGAACGGGAGGAGGAGGGCGAATTGAGGCCAGAGGAATAATGTTCGAGGAGAGGGGGTTGAGGGGGGTTTGAGGAGGTGGGGAAGGGATTGACAGAGGGGCATTGCGTGCTGGTGTCTATTGTCAAAAAGACAAAAACACAAAAAAATGTCCCTGCACGCAATGCCCCTCTGACAAAAAGACAATAATGTTCCTAAGACCAAAAAGAATTTTCCTCAACTTTTTAACTCACCTTCAGAAGCAAGCAATGTCACCTTGACATTGCGATCCATCTGAGCGTGGAAAATCACCTGAAACTGAGGAATCACCTGAGGCTGACAGCTGGACCCAGAGGGTCTGGAAGAGCCAGTACTCAACGACAGAAAAGCCTTGCTGGAAATCCTGGGAAAGCAATGGAGGAGGGGGGCAGAGGGGAGGGGGGCGAACGCGGAAGAGTGAAGGGTGTGAAGAGTGGAGAGTTTAGGTGTGCTTCGTTAGACAACAGTAAATCCCTGCTGGAAATCCTGGAAAGGCAACAGAGGGGTGGGGTGAGAGGAGGGAGCAGAGAAGAGTGAAAAGTGTGAAGAAGTAGGAAATGGGCGTGCCAGAAGTGACATCAGATGAGTATTGTCCTTCAACGAGGGAAGAAAAAAATGGGAGGGAAGGGAAAAGAGGTGAGGGGAAGGGAGGGGAGGGGAGGAAAGGGGAAGGGAGGGGGAGGGGAGGGGAGGGGAGGGGAGGGGAGGGGAGGGGAGGGGAGGGGAGGGGAGGGGAGGGGAGGGGAGGGGAGGGGAGGGGAGGGGAGGGGAGGGGAGGGGAGGGGGAAGGGAGGGGAGGGGAGGGGAGGGGAGGGGAGGGGAGGGGAGGGGAGGGGAGGGGAGGGGAGGGGAGGGGAGGGGAGGGGAGGGGAGGGGAGGGGAGGGGAGGGGAGGGGAGGGGACGATTGATGATGAGAGTTGTGTGGATAACATGTGGTGCCGGTGTGGTGTGGTAAAATGAGATGTGGTGCACAATTGTGTGCATCTGCCATGGGCCCTTCATTACAGAACACTGCACCGCACTGTACCGCACCATCCAACACCACACCATACCACATTACAGAAGCACGTACCACAATCTTCACACACGCAGGAGTGTCCACATCCATGCTGCTCCGCCCCTGCCCTTTCTCCCCCTCCACCCCCTCCTCCTCCACCTCCTCATCCCCATCACCAGCAGCACCATCACCACCATCAGCAGCAGTGGCCCCCAGATTCTCCAGCGCAACGCGTCGGCCATCGCTGCTCTCCACTCTCACTCGCAGCCGGTGGCGAAACTGCTGCTGCTCCGCCTGCTCTGCTTCCCAGTTGGCGTTCTTGCGCGGCAGCACTGCCATGCCATCCTTGTCCTGTTAGGAGGGGAGGAGGAATGACAAGATTAGATAGCACACCGCACATCTGCTCTGTTTCCCAGTTGGTGTTCTTGCCCGTCAGACAAGGGAAAACGAACAGGAGTGCTGATGGTAAATCAAATGAAACGGCATGAACATGCATTTGGAATGATGCCTGAACGCACATGATCACACCTGAAAGGGCACCTGGGCGAAACTCACCTGAAATGGCACGTGGCCCTGCACATCAAGGCGAGGCACGAAGAGAGTCACATAGCCATCGTGAATGGAGACCACCTGAGCGGGTGGGTGCAAGGAGAGAAAGAGGCAGCGGGTGGGGGGATGAGCAGCGGCGTGAAATGAGGTTGTTTTTGAGACGTCTCAAAAACAACCTCATTTCACGTGGAGAGAAAGAGGCAGCGGGTGGGGGGATGAGCAGCGGGGAGCATGTGGTGAGGCACGAAGAGAGTCACATAGCCATCGTGAATGGAGACCACCTGAGTGGGTGCGGGGCCGAGGCCGGAGGAGGAGGGGGAAGGCAGGGGGAACGCGCAGGGGGGAAGAGAGGGAGGATGGAGAGGTGAGGGAAAGGGGTGGGGGGTGAACCAACTCAGGGATCGAGACAGGAGCACCAGCGTAGAGCATCAAGTTGGTTCGCACACCCATCGCTTTGATTCCTTGTGAGGGATTTTTGATAATTCTCAAAAATCAAGTTGGTTCGCACACCCATCGCTTTGATTCCTTGTGAGGGATTTTTGATAATTCTCAAAAATCAAGTTGGCTCGCACACCCATCGCTTTGATGTCAACCCCTCCCGTGCGCGCTCCATGAAGGGCTGCTCCCGCAACAGCAGCAGTAGCAGACAGCAAAAACACCCGCCTCCCTACCCCCCCCACCCCAAACCCATCCCCTCTTCCCCACTGCTCACCACAGCACGCTCTACCAAGGGCTGCTCGCGCAGCAGCAGCAGCAGCAACAGCAGCCGACAGTGAAAACACCCACCTCCCTATCCTCCCCCCCCCACCCCCCCCCCCCCCCACAAACCCATCCTCTCTCCCCCTCTGCTCACCACAGCACGCTCTACCAAGGGCCGCTCGCGCAGAAGCAGCAGCAGCAGGCAATGAGCTCCTTTCACCCCCCCTTCCCCAGCACGCCCTTCCCGTCTCCCCCCACCACCTTTCTGCTCACCACAGCACGCTCTACCAAGGGCCACTCGCGCAGAAGCAGCAGCAGCAGGCAATGAGCTCCTTTCAACCCCCTATTCCCAGCATACCCTTCCCGTGTGCCCTGCCCCCCCACTGCTCACCACAGTGCGCTCCACCAAGGGCTGATCCCGCAGCAGCAGCAGCAGCAACAGCAGCCGACAGTGAAAACACCCACCTCCCTATCCTCCCCCCCCCCCCCCCCCCACCCCCCCCACCCCCCACAAACCCATCCTCTCTCCCCCACTGCTCACCACAGCACGCTCCACCAAGGGCTGCTCGCGCAGCAGCAGGCAGCAGCGGCACTAGGCAGTGAAATCACCCCCCTTCCTCCTCCCCTCCCCCAGCAACCCGCCCCGTCCCCCCCACTGCTCACCACAGCACGCTCCACCAAGGGCTGCTCGCGCAGCAGCAGCAGCAGGCAGAGCTCGGCGCTCCTCTTTGATGCCAGCTTGGCCAGCCGGTGCTGCTTGTTCAGATGAGCTGCTAGCTGTTGGGGGGGAGGGTGAGGGAGGGGAGGGGTGGGACGGAGAGTGGTCTCAGGAGGTGGTGCTTGTCCAGAGGAGACTGGGCGTGGGTGACAGGCAAAGCTCAAAACTCCTCTTTGATGCCATCTTTGCCAGCTGGTGCTGCTTGTTAAGATGGGCCGCTAGCTGTGAAGTGGGGAAGGGAGGGAGGGGAGGGAAGGGAGAATGGGGACAGAGAGATCAACCCACATGTTTGAGATCTAACTTGCTTGGCTGGCAGCCCTGTCCTTGCTCCCCTTCTACACCTTGCTTGCAACGGCCTTGCCAATAGGTGCTGTAAAAAAAACTCACTCAGCCTTTGTCATTTTCTTCTTGCCAGACTCCAACTCATTTATATTAAGTTCTCTTGCCCAATCATACTTTATAGCTTGCCAAGGCCATTGCCGAAGCGCCGTTTGCCTCTCGCTGCCTATTGGTCTTTTCCTCGCAAACTTTGGCTTACAATCGCGACGTGTATATGGATGCATCGTCAAAAGGTCTCGGCTTCAGTATAAATTACGTCCATCGTCTACTCATTTCTCACCCTTCGCCAACATAGCCTCCCTGTATGCCTCTTACTTCGACTCGCCAAATGTCTCAGCTTAGGTATAAACTACGCCCATCATCTACTCATTTCTCACCCTTCGCCAACATGGCCTCATTTTTACTCACATCGTCTACTCATTTCTCATTTCTCAGGTTATGACGATGCTTTGCACGAATGCCATGTTGGCAAAGGGTGATGAAGTAAGCGATGGATGTAGTTCATAGCAATGCTGAAATCTTTGGAGGAGTCGAGGTAAGAGAAATACGGGAACCAAAGAAAGGCATTCAGGGAAGCGTCACGATTGTAAATTAGGTTTGCAAGGAAAAGAGCAATGCACAGCGAGAGGCAAACAACTCTTCAGCAATCACTTCGGCAACCAACAAAAACATGACTAGATGCCAGATCGGCAACCGGAGTCGGGAAACAAAACATGCTTGCGAGCAACCAGGGTTTGATGAGAAAGAGCTCAACATGAATAGATCGGAGCCCAGCATAAAGAGGAGGACAGAGGCTGAGTCACATTTGGGACAGCACCTAGTGGCAAGTCCGCCGCAAACAAAGTGCATGAAGGAGAGCAAGGAAGGGGCTGCCAGCTAGGCAAGATAGAATCTAAGCATGAGACACCCTTCCACATGCCATTCCCATGCTGCATGACTCCCTCTCAACCCCCACTTTTCTCCTACCGCCCCTCTCCTCTCCCCCCTCTATCCCCACTTGCTGACCTCCGCCATTATCATCACCTGTCCTCATGCTTTCCACATGCCATGAGCCTCACCTTGTCCCAATCCATGCCTCGTGACCCTCTCTCCACCACCTCCTCCACCTCTCCCACTTTTTTCCGTTGCTCATCTCTGTCATGCCTCTCCTCTACTGAGTCCCTCTCCCCAACCACTTCCTCCCCCACCCCCTCCTCCTCCCTCACTCCCTCCCCTCCCCACACCCTAGCAGCAGCACCCCACGCCTTCCTCCTTCCCCTTCCTCCTCCACCGGACTGCCCTCCTCCTCCTGATCCCTCTTCCTCTACTCCGCCCTGCCCCCTCGCTCCATCCCCATCTGCCTCTTCAAACGACCCCCCTTTCCCATCTACTCCCTGGGCAGTGCCTCTCCCTCGCTTCTGTCCACCCGCCTCCCCTCGATCCCGCTTCTCTTGCTGCAGCGCCGCCAGCAGCTGCCGGTGCACTAGCAGGTCGGCGTAGCGGCGAATGGGCGAGGTGAAGTGGGAGTAGAGGCTGGAAGATGGGAGGGAGAGATGGGCGGGGAGGGAAGGGGGAAGCAGGCAGGAGAGTTGAATCAACTCAGTGCTGCCAGCAGCTGCCGGTGCACGAGCAGGGCAGCAAAGCGACGAATGGGTGAGGTGAAAGTGGGAGTAGAGGCTGGAGGGAGACGAGGGTAAAATAGGAGGGAGAGAGAAGGATGGGAGGGGAGAGGGAAGCAGGAGAAAAGTTGTTTCATCTCATCTCAGCAGAGCGCCAGCAGTTGCGGGTGCACCAGCGGGCCAGCAGTTGCGGGTGCACCAGCGGGCCAGCAGTTGCGGGTGCACCAGCGGCCCAGCAGTTGCGGGTGCACCAGCGGGCCAGCAGTTGCGGGTGCACCAGCGGGCCAGCAGTTGCGGGTGCACCAGCGGGCCAGCAGTTGCGGGTGCACCAGCGGGCCAGCAGTTGCGGGTGCACCAGCGGGCCAGCAGTTGCGGGTGCACCAGCGGGCCAGCAGTTGCGGGTGCACCAGCGGGCCAGCAGTTGCGGGTGCACCAGCGGGCCAGCAGTTGCGGGTGCACCAGCGGCCCAGCAGTTGCGGGTGCACCAGCGGGCCAGCAGTTGCGGGTGCACCAGCGGGCCAGCATAGTGATGGATGGGCGCGGTGATGAAGCGGGAGGAGAGGCTAGAGGCGAGGGGTGCACGACAAGAGAATGACAGAGTGGAGTGAAATGAGTGCACAGGCTGTCTGAAGAGAGCGGATGGGAGAGGGGAGACGAGAGGTGTGGGAGCGAGGGGAGAGAGGGAAGCAGGAAGAATCAATGAAACAACTTAGAGCTGCAGTAACAGCCGGTGCACCAGTAAGTAAGTGGGAACATCGGCAGATGGGCAAGGTGAAGAGGGAAGAACGGCTGTAGAGCACAGGAGGGCACAGCGGATTCGAAGAACTGTTTCTGTTTACTCCTAACAAAGCAGATATTTGAGTGTCTGCAGCCGCGGCATTCTTTGCACGTGCTATGCTTCGAGTTTTGAGTCGACTCAAAACTCGACTCATTACACGCGAGTGTCTGCAGCCACGGCACTCCTTGCACGTGCTATGCTGGTGGCACAGCAGCAGATCCTGTGGAGAAAGAGACACAGGCTGGCTACTTTTGAAGCACGGTAAAGAGGGGAGTAAACATGCTCCTGCATTCCAGCACATTCACGTGGCCCGATTCAGCAATGCCACTCACTCTACCGCCAGGCCGTAATGATAAGGCCCGATGCCATCCGCTGCTGCTGCTGATGCTGGCAGATACTCCGCCTGATGTGCATGTGCATGGCATGAAGACGTGAAGGAATGCAGGAAAATGCAAATGGTCACATGGACATGCAGGGAGAGTGAGAAACACACAGCAGATCAGAGTCAAATGTGTGCAAGACACATGGGATTAAAGGGAAAAAAGGGGTGAACTCGCAACGGTTTACGCGCTGCAGTGTAGGTGGCCAGAGAATAAAAGACCAGGTCACCCATGTGAGGGGTTGCAAGGTTGCAGGATGTGAGCATCTGCGCAGGAATGAAGATGCGCGCGTGCATGAGCATGTCATATTTCCCATTCCCATGGTGCCACCACATCTCATTGTAGGTCCCCAGTTTTCCTCTAACCTCTTCCATGACTCATCTGCACGTGTCTCACCTCTGAGAGTGCACGCATGCACAGAACAGAGCCTTGAGTCCATACTGCAGCAACAACCACCCTCATGTGCTTTTTGTCGACTCCGAAAGTGTCTCACCTCTGAGAGTGCACGCATGCACAGAACAGAGCCTTGAGTCCATACTGCAGCAACAACCACCCTCATGTGCTTTTGTCGACTCCGAAAGTGTCTCACCTCTGAGAGTGCACGCATGCACAGAACAGAGCCTTGAGTCCATACTGCAGCAACAACCACCCTCATGTGCTTTTTGTCGACTCCGAAAGTGTCTCACCTCTGAGAGTGCACGCGTGCTGAGTGCCTTGAGCCCATACTGCAGCAACAACCACATGAAATGAAACGATGATGCGGACGAGACAAGCGGATACGTGGGAGGCATGTGCGAAAGGGGTGAGAGACATATGTAAGGCATGGCAGCAGGGGACCACAGCGGAAGAATGAGCATGAAGTCCGGTTATTTTTATCGCTGTGGTCACTCTTATATTTTTCAGAGTGCGGACAATCTTAAGAGGGAGCGCAGAAAGAGCATCCAAGGCCGCGGCAAGCAAAAGGGGAGTTAGAGATCTCTATGGGTCGACTCAAACGGAGCGTTTACAAAAGAAGCTCACATCCAGCACGGGGTCTCCCAGGTGCTTCACCGCTGCCAGCGATGCTGCTAGCGCCTGTTGTGGGGAAGGTGGGGAGTCACGGTGGGGGAGGGAGAGGCAGGGGAAGGAAGGGAGTAGAAAGTATAAGGTGGTGGTGGATGTGTGAGAGAGAGAGGAAGCTCACATCCAGGACGGGTCTCCCAGGTGCTTCACTGCTGCCAGCGACGCTGCTAGCGCCTGTTGGGAGGGAGAAAGGGAGAGATGATTAGGGTTTATTGTTCAGAAGAAGGGAGGGCAGGGGAGGGCACGAGATTGCGGGAAGGGGAGGGGAGGGGAAGGGAGGGGAGGGGAGGGGAGGGAGGGGAGGGAGGGGAGGGGAGGGGAGGGGAGGGGAGGGGAGGGGAGGGGAGGGGAGGGGAGGGGAGGGGAGGGGAGGGGAGGGGAGGGGAGGGGAGGGGAGGGGAGGGGAGGGGAGGGGAGGGGAGGGGAGGGGAGGGAGGGGGGAGGGGAGGGGAGGGGAGGGGAGGGGAGGGGAGGGGAGGGGAGGGGAGGGGAGGGGAGGGGAGGGGAGGGGAGGGGAGGGGAGGGGAGGGGAGGGGAGGGGAGGGGAGGGGAGGGGAGGGGAGGGGAGGGGAGGGGAGGGGAGGGGAGGGGAGGGGAGGGGAGGGGAGGGGAGGGGAGGGGAGGGGAGGGGAGGAGAGGAGAGGAGAAAGAGGAGAGGACAGGAAGGAAGAAGGGAGGAGAGAAAAGGAGAGTAGAGTAGTGAAGGGAAGGGGAGGCAAGCACGAAATAAACATTCCAAACTAGTATGATTGCTTGCATGACTCCTTGGAAAGAAAGAATGTGAAAGGTTCAATACTTAGTTGTTCCATGCGCCCTGGATGAATGCTTTGAGACGGCTCAAAACTCGATTACTGTCACGCGGACTCTGAGATGTCTTAAAACAGTTGACCCATGGGCCTTGGATGAATGCTGACCTTGTTTGTTGATGTTTCGAGTGCAATGCCTCGCACCGCACAGCACTGAGAGCAGGGCACACAGAGACAAGAACAGAAGAAAGAGGTGCAAAACAGAGCATGTAGGAGGCTTATATAGAATCAACAAGTGCAAGTTTGATGCTTGTTAGCAGGGTGATATGCATGCCATGCTGCCGTCACCCAGACCTCGTCACGCCATATCACCCACATACATGATACAGCACGTGTATTAAGAAGTGTTTTGAGACGTCTCAAAACACTTCTTAATACACCTCGTCACGCCATATCACCCACATACCTACATGACACAGCAGTCACACTTTGTTAACCACCACCACCACCCATGCGACTCTGTGCATACATGCATGCATTACACAGTACGCACACACACGCATGCATCCCACACATCCCTCACATGCTAGACCCCACCACCCTCACATGCATCACGCTTCCCTCACATCCCTCACATCCCACGCATCCCACGCATCCCTCACATCCCTCACATCCCTCGCATCCCTCGCATCCCTCACATCCCTCAGACCACTACCACTGCACTCACATGCATGAGATGGCACCCACAGCTCTCATGCACACCTCATTCACCCCACCACCACCAGCAGCCCTCACATGCATGAGATGGCGGAAGCCGTTCGGGCGAGGAGGAGCATGGCGCCGCAGAAAGGCAGTTGATGGGAAGGCCCTGCCTCAACAAACAACGATGGGGGTGGGCGGGGAGAGATGGAGTAAAGTGCACCTTAGTATGGAACGGATCAGAAGAAAAGAAGCATGGAACGCAATGCACGGCATTGCATCGCAAGGGCATGAAACAGTGACAGAGGGATCGCGGCAGGCAGCTGTCGAGTGAGTGTGCGTGTGTGAATCCCGGTGCATGTGTGTGCGCGTGCAGGTTGGGATTCTCACCGGGTGAGCTTGCGGGCGACAGCAGCATTGGCCAGCACCATGAGTTCCGCCACCACTGCGTTCATCTGATGGTGGGTAAGGGGGGGTGGAGGGCCTTTAGAAACGAGAGGGTAGCGTGGAGCAACGAAGGGAAGTAGGAGGGCACGAGAGTGGGGGATGGCATTGGCAAGCACAGTGAACGATCGCGTTTATCTGATGGTGAACAGCAGGAAGAGGGGGAGGACGTTCAGGTGAGGAGGGCAAAGACGAGGAATAGCGTTGCATGGGAGTGGAGCAAGTGGGTTGGGCAACAGCAGCGGCGAGCAGCATCTGATGCACTGCAGGGGGGAGGAGAGGGCGTGCATTCCAGGAGGACGAAGGGGGTGTGAAGTACAACAAAAGGGAGGAGAATCGCAAGCGCATGGAAGTAGAAAGGATGCACTGGCGAGAGATGGGTTGTGAGAATCCTCAGAACCGAGCATAGCCCCTCTTTTACCACCAACACTTCTCACTACTTTCGGAACACATTTTTGGCACCTCTGCACTCATCAAACTGGAGGTGATATCGAGACAACTATAAAGCCTCCCTCACCACAGCCATGCTCTCACTTACCGGAGTCTCCTGCTGGCAGAGCACTTGTTTGGGCGTCCCTCGGCTTTCATCAAACTCATACCGCAGCTCCACACAAGCCAGCTACAGTGTACCAACACTCGCACCACCACCTCCCCTTCCTCACCAGCCCAACCCACCCACCGGGACCTCCTGCTTGCAGAATACCCATTTGGGCGTCCCTCGGCTCTCATCAAATTCAACCTCAGCTCCGCACTCGGCAGGTCACCACAGAAAGCCCCCCCTTAGTACAAACTCCCCTCTTACCGGGATTTCCTGCTTGCAGAACACCCGTTTGGGCGTCCCTCGGCTCTCATCAAACTCAAACCTCAGCTCCGCACTCGCCAGCTCCAATGCACCCGCCCTCTGCCTCTGCCGCCGCAGCTCCTGGGATCACCAATGTGAGGGAAGGAGGAAAGAAGAGGGAGGCAGGTAAGGAGGGAACAGAGCTCTGCTTTGCACTCGCCAGCTCCTGCGCTCCCGCCAGCTGCCCCTGCCGCCGCAGCTCCTGTGACTAAGTCCGGTAATGGAGGGGGGAAGGAAAGTGAGCCAAATGATGGGGGCAGGGAGGAAAGCAGACGAATAATGTGGGGAATGAACGCAAGTGCGGGGGGAGGAAGGCAAATGCGGGGGGAGGAAGGCAAGTGCAGGGGGAGGAAGGCAAGTGCGGGGGGAGGAAGGCAAGTGCAGGGGGAGGAAGGCAAGTGCGGGGGGAGGAAGGCAAGTGCAGGGGGAGGATGGCAAGTGCCCTCCAGTGCACCTACCAGATGCCTGCCGCTGTAGCATCTGTGACAGTGTGACTGTGGTGATAGGCAACTGGAGCCTGGAGGAGATGCACTTGTTTCTCGGGGCAGTGGAAGGAAGTCAACCCACCATAGCACCATTCACCCCTCTCATTCCGCCTGCCAGTTTAACCTTGCACTTGCTCTGAACAGCATGGAGCGCCACGGGCTAACCAAGGCTAATAACGCCCTCAGGGCTAGCCTGAAGCTGCAGGAGCAAGAAGTGATGGAGCTCAGAGGAAAGATGCTAACAGAGGAGAGGAGGAGGTGTGAAGCAGAGCGGGCGGCAGAAGCGGTAAAAATAGAGCTTCGGGAAAAGAACGTCACAGCTGCAGCCCTGGCTCGCGAGAAGACTATGTTGGAAGAGCAGCTTCAGGAGATGCAGGGTAGGGAGGAGTGGGATGAGGAAGGAAGAAGGGAGCTCTCCGAACCTCCTCACCCCGCTCCCTCCTCTCTTCCTCACCCCTCATCCCGACACTGCATCTCCTAAAACTGCTCTTCCAACGCAGCCTTCTCGCGAGCCAGAGCTGCAGCGGTGGCGTTCTCTTCCCGAAGCTCTATTTTGACCGCTTCTGCTGCCCGTTCTAACTCACACCTCCTTCCCTCCTCTGCAATCATCCCTCCTTTAAACTCCATCCTTTCCTCCTCCTGCTGCTTCAGACTATCGCTGAGGGCGTTGGAAGCACTCTCAACCTTGCCTCTCAACCGAACCAGCTATCCAGTGTCACACGCCCCCATGACAAGAGGTTTCAGTACTGACCCGCGCAAAGGCAGTAAGAGTGGCGATGCACGTCTTGGCTCGTGCCACCTCTCTCTGCCCGCCCGCCAATTGGTACTCCGCTGGCAGCGGGTGCACTCCGTCTGCTATGGCCTGTGCTTGCGCATACGAGAGCTGTGAGGGGAAGGCGGCGGGGGGGGGAGGGGGGGTGGAAGAGGAGGATTGAGTGGGTAAGTATGTGTGCCCCCTCTTTCCCTCGGCTCATCTGCTAAGCGATGCTCCTCCAGCAGTGGATGCACTCTGTCTGCTATGGCCTGCGCTGGGCATACCAGAGCAGTGGGGAGAAAAAGGAGGGGTGAGAGGGAGGATGGGAAAGGAGGAGCAGCAGGAGCGGAGAGACCTGTGTGCCACCTCTCTTGGCCTTCCTGCCAGGCATTGTTGCTTCTAAAGCATGGGCGAGAGATTTGCAGATATGAAGGGTGAGAATAGAAGGAGGAGAGGTTGTGCGAGGACCATAGGGACGGGAGGGGGAAAACAAGACAAGCAAGCAGGTACCAATGAGAACATACGTGAAGAGCATGGCAAGACGGAGAGAAACGAAACAAGGGTTAGTACTCGAGTGTGTTAGAATCTATCTTCTTGTGTAACCTGCATAGATGTTATAGGTTAGGCTAGAGTTAAGCACCCAAACTCAGTTTGGGTGTACAAACAGGGGTCACCCAGTTTGTAGGTTGGAAACCCAACCTTGGTCCAATTATTGGACCCCAAAGGTTGGGTTGGGTAGAATTATTGGTTCACTCCAATAATGTTGGCCCAACTCCAACTTGGCCAACATTATTGGACCCCACCTATACTCCCCCAACCCAACTTCTTGGTTGGGGTCCAATAATGCTCACCTAGGCTAGGATCCAACCCACTCCCTATGTAAACCCCCAATCTCCTCAATTCAATCATCAACTTCTCTTCAAACTATTGTTCTCACATGGTATAGAGCTCTTAATTCCTAGGCCTACTCTATTAACTTTTCAAAGGCCACTACAACCCCGGCCTCCTTCCTCATTTTTATTTTCGCGGCCATCTTGCCGCCCTTCCCCTCTCCTCAAGCGCTCCCTTCCTCGCAGCCCCGCGGCCTCCCACGCCGCCAAGGCCCGCACCACCCCCCCCCCCTCCCCCCCTTCCGCGGCCCCATCGCCGCTTCCGCGCTCGCCTCGTCGCGGTCCCGCCGACCGCTGCCGCCCGCGCCATTCCGCAGCCTCGCCACCGCTTCCGCGCCGGCGCCTCCACGGCCTCTCCGGCCGCCTCCACTCGCGCCTCTCCGCGGCCTCGACGCCGCCTCCGCGCAAACGCCGCCGCGGCTCCACCAGCCGCTGCCGTCCGCGCCGCTCCCTCCCGCGGCCTCGTCGCCGCCTTCGCGCCAGCGCCGCCGCGGCCTCGCCAGCCGCCGCTGCCGCTCGCGCCTCTCCCCGGCCTCGACGCCGCCTCCGCGCAAACGCCGCCGCGGCTCCACCAGCCGCTGCCGTCCGCGCCGCTCCCTTCCGCGGCCTCGTCGCCGCCTCCGCGCATGCGCCACCGCGGCCTCGCCAGCCGCCGCTGCCGCTCGCGCCTCTCCCCGGCCTCGACGCCGCCTCCCCGCCAGCGCCGCCGCGGCCTCGCCAAGCCGCCGCCGCCTGCGCCGCTCCTTCCGCGGCCTCATCGCCGCCTCCCGTGAGCACTGCGGGCCCACCCGCAGCCGTCCTCCATGGCTACCGCCACACCCTCCCCCGCCCCCCCCTCCCTCCACCTATTGACACCTCCTCCATCGATAAGCTGCAGCTCGCCGCAGACAAATCCGCCAT